AGATGTGACTGTTCAAGGTGCCTGGAAACTTGTGCTTGGACTAATCTTTCTAAGGGCTTGGACAGGTTTGAGAGGATGGAAATGGGACGGTAGTCTCTAGGGGAGGATGGGTTGTGGGTTTTATTGTCAGGGTGGACAAGCCAGACTGACGGTAAAACAGAGTTTTGGAGTGAGTAGTTATAGATGTGAAGAAGAAAAGGTAGTAATACTAGGAGGCAGAGTTTAAGAAAATGGATAGGGATGCCATCAACTCCAATGGCATTGAAGTGGGATTTGGTTATGGCCTCGAGGACTTCGGTTGGGGTTAGACAGTAGAAATAGAAGTTAGACGAACTGAATGAGAGTCCAGAGAAAGCGGGTATGGGGACAGGCATTGATGAAGAAGAGTTGGGCGAGACAAACATTTTACAGCACTTTTTATGTTGATGGCAATAAAAAGTATATTTTTTATTTTGTAGAGTTAATTTTCCAATAATGAGCACGTCGTCCTATTGATTTAACCAATAGTGTCGCGTTTCGACCCGTATGCTTATCTTCTGGAACTAATATTTATGTAAAGAAAACGTTACATTAGAATACATTATTATTAAAAATAATAATTGGTTAATAATAATTCAAAAACGGCTAAAAGTACTTTACCGTCAAATAATTTGAAAGAAGAGGAACGTAGCTTTTTAACGACCTATAGTACCATGCAAAATATGAAAAATATTTCTTTCAGAAAATACGTAAAATAGCAAAAAATTATTTGCCAGAAATTTAACCTCGTTTCTTAAATAGAAATAATAATCCGATTTTCATGTTTTATATAGGTGTAAAATGCACCTGACAATTTATGTACTTTTGAAAAAAAAAATGATATTAGATCTTGCCCTAAGAATGTCAGTAAGGCAGATTTTGAAAAAAAAACTTCATAACCCCATTAAATAGATTTATTACGAATTCCAAATCTATTAATCTATTCTAATAAACAAGTTGTTATTGTAAATGTGGAATATTTGTTGACAAGAGACAATAAGTTTTCCATAAATATCCCTACTTTTCCAATAACGACTTCTTGGACAAATTTCAGGGCTCAAAAATTCGATAAATATAAATTCAAAGAAATTTTTTTATTTAAGAGTCATTATGGGTAACATTATGACGTAATTTACTTGAAATATATTTGGTTTTTAGAATTTTTTGCTTATTGATAAGTATTGACAGCTTTTAATATATTTTTATTGCAATCTACATAAAGAAAGCTGTAAAATTACGTTCACGTAGTTGAAATTTTAAAATAATTGCATTAAAAAATTCAAAAACAGAAAATTTCAACTTTTAAATATAAAGCGAAACCAGGGCCTATTCACCACAAGTGGAGTATACGTGTGTGATATTTTGAAGTGTAAAATTACCAAAATAGTTTTGAACAAATCCGTCACCCACCCACATAGTCATCCCCTTGTTAATCAAATTAACAACAATAAGATTTTAAATTTACCATTTTTTAAATAATTTTGAGTAAACTGAACTCCATGTTATCTCCTTGTGATTAAGAAATGTGTGCAGTGGTAGTATAAATGGCAATTTGGCTAATACAAAGGCCAATTGGTTTTGACGTTCCTGAACACGAGTCGTTGATGTTGGTGAATTATTCAAAAGGGTAAGCTGGAATTCACATTCTACCTCTTGTGTACATATTATAATTTAAAATGTTATTCTGTAACATAACCCACACCTATAATAGATGCAAGGCAATTTTGATAAAATAGTTTGAAGTGACAAATATAAGATTTTTTATAGTTCGTGAGTGACTACGTGGTTAAATGTTCGATAAATGATTGCATTTCGATAGATACTCCGTTGAGGAGTATCAAGATAGAAAAATGGATATATCTAAAATCCTATCTAAATTCCATATAAAGGAGGCTTCAAGAAAGAGATCATCGGATAAGTAGGATTTGCGAACGGGATAATAGTCAATGGGTAGACTTTAGCTTTCCACAGCAGTGTCAAATGCCATTCACGGTTGAAGGCTTGTGAGACGTCAAGGATGACATCCGACAGTCGCTTTGTCTGGTTAAACATTCAAGTATTAATTGTAAACAACTGGGGACTTTAATTACTGAGATGTGAAGGAAAAAGTACCTATTTTTGATTTGCTCATATGATGGCCGCTCCTAGCTGAGGGTTTTCGAATCATCCCTGAAGACTTATTTGGCTTAGTACATTGGGTGGTAAAATAAGTCGATAACGTTTCTAGAACTACTTGATTGCACACTCTTAAAAGGGAGTAGTTCATGTGTCAATCTAGATCTCGGAACGTTACGAGCTGTTTTGTTCACTTAAAATGTAGAGAAATAGCAAATTTTTGACATTTGATGTGCTATTTCTCTTCGCTTTCTATGCTGTGTTCAAACGTTTCAACGCAACTGATTGCGCCTGGAAATATTTGATGCACCCTCATATGTGATTCCTTCATAAATGGAATATAAATGATACATTTTTAGAGATTGATAGCATGGGATGTAATGCAACCAAATATACCAATTCTTTCCATGTAAGGTCTTGGTTGAGATAAAAAAAGTCAGTGTCACGAGCGGGATTCGAACCCACAACCTTCAGCTAAATACATCGCTACTCTACCGCTTGAGCTATTTTAGCTACTTCGATCCTCTTTTATCTCAACGAAGAACTTACATGGAAAGAATAATTAATTGAAAGATGTAACTTGGTCAATTAACCACAAAAACGTAAATGAATTAATATTTAATAAGTAAAAGAAGTATCACTTCACTAAACAGCTCCCCGTGGCCACTTCATAAGTCGCTGAGAATCGAATCCTGATTACACGACATTTGAAAATGGGAAAAAGAGGGAACGTTCGAACGGTTGTAGGTTCAGATAGAGAGTTGGTGTCCAAGAGTAGTGGCGTATTTAGCCGAAGGTCGTGGGTTCGAATCCCGCTCGTGACACTGACTTTTTATCTCAACCAAGAGAATAATGAATTGAAAGATATACCTTGGTCAGACCACTAAAACGTAAATGAATATTTAACAATGTTGAGAGACAAAAAATTACAGTGGAAATGCAGCGACTCGCCGTTAGCAACTCCGAAAGCCCGATTGCATCCCAAGAAAGGAAAGTTGTGCATTTACTTGGGTAGAGATTACAAGGTGATGCTTTATGTGAGATTTTGCACCCGATCAGATCATTAATTTCGCTCAATTGGAGAGATTAAAGACAGCGATTGACAGATCGCAAGGGGGTTGTTTTCCACCAGGATAACGCTCACCCCAAACTGGCATTGCGGAGGTGCCAGAATTGTTGGCGCTCGGCTGAGATACGCTTTCCCACCCAGTTTCCTACCTAGCGTTTCCAGATTTTCAATTATTCTGAGCAATGCAAAATTCATTGCACACGTTGCATATGGAAGGCGGTTCATGAACCATCAGATGACACTGGGTTTCTTTACAATACTCGATCTACAGTCTTGTTAATACAACTGCCTCTTTTATTCTTTCTAACTGTTTTTATTTCAAAGAGGTCCACATTAGGCAAATATTTCTCCTGGTGTCATCAAATATTTGAATACAAACTAAACTTAAATTTTACTCTCGCTTTTATCTGGTGATTAAGTCAACTAATTTTTCAAGATGAAATGACTCTTCTGAAAATATCTTGCTCGCTGCTATGTTCAACCTTGTTTTATGGTTGTATGCCTTACTTTTCAGCCCGAAAAACGCACCTGCAGAGGCTCGATAGGCTTTACTCACAGGGACTTCGAGCTGAAACCGGCGTGTGTAGAAAAAGCCCTTTGGCCAGTATGTGCTTCGAGCTAAATGAAATGAAAGAAATCATGCCGCCTGAAGAAGCATAAATGCGCCTGGGTTCCTGGCGTAACTAGGACATCCGCATTCGGTTACGAACTTCAGATGTCAGTACAGCAGAAAATATACGCGACTTCGGACTTAGGCCTAGGTTTCGGCGATTCCTTAGGGAGGGCAAGCATCAAATAACTTCGTCGTACCTGCCTCTTTTACAAATATAAATAAATTTTAAAAACTTCGTTCTCTAGTTTTTAATAATAATAAATAATGTGAGAAAAATTAAGTTTGCATTTCATACAGTATAAGAGCCTATTTTAATTCGATGTATATTCTCATAATTTATAGAAAAATTTGCCCATTTGTTTGAATTTAACCAACGTTCATAGATAAATCCTCAACGTATGTAATAATAATCCTCCTTAATAAAAATATCTAATATACATTGCATCCATAATGACGTAATAATTTTTGCTAAGCGGCTGTGATTCATAACTGTTCTTATATTTAGAACTTCGTAAATATACTAAATATATTTTTTATTAATTAACTTTTGAAACCATGTTTGATATTTTATATGGCGTTGTTTTTGTTTTACGAGCTTCATGACATACATGCAGGGTTTTTCAAAAATTGTAGACCTGTCTTTTTTCAAATCGTTAATTTTATTTTAAACAAATTCTACCCACAATTAAATAATCTCAGCATTCGATTCCGCAAGAGGTGAAAGTTTCAAGCCGTTGGAGACGAAAATTTTTTTTAAATATAATAATTAATTGAAGAATAAAGCGGCAATAGAAAACACCTAAGGAGGAGAGGTGTAAAAATCCAAGTGACAAAATAGGTCCTTTGGCACAGTTCCACCCCACATTCAATTATGTTCACACTACCGTCATCCCGGCATCGGAGATGAGGGTCGGCAACCCCTCGGGCAACGCCACGTGCCGTTTAACGTGTTTTTCCGAAAGAATCGTACTTTGTGATCAATGCCTGACTATTGGCTGCCTCGGCATTTAACAAAATTTTGCCGATTACCTGCCAACTAAGCCACTTTTGGATTTCGGCTAGTTAGCTCAACGAATTTTGTGAAATTTCAGATTCATCGAGATCTCAGCTGTATTTAAAAATTTTTGTATGGAAATGGATAGCCCTATACAACATCGTCTATTAAATCTGTACTGTATTCACATTTTACCTAATGCTATTCAATAAAATAATGAAAAATATGACTAATAAAATATTACCTTGTTCATTGAGAAGATGATTTGTAAACACGAAGACTCTCTGAAACAAAAAAATTTGAATTAATTTTTCACATAATAATCATATTCGAACTGTCTAAAGCCTCAGCATATTCTTCAAGATAAAACAGTTATAAATAAATATCACATTTGTTTTATATTTTATTTCTATTACATTTGTTGCACTATTATTGTGTTGTTTACACGTTTTTTAAGAAATTGGGTCTTACTTATATATTTTTGGTTGCATGCACACGTAACCATATAAACAACTCCACTAGTTTTCGTGGTCCGCTTGACCAATTAATATCATCCAATTAATTAAGGTTTTTAGTCGAAATAAAAAAGTCAGTGTTACGAGCGGGATTCGAACCCACGACCTTCGGCTTAATACGCCGCTACTCTACCACTTGAGATATCGTGACTTCGATCCACTCGGACACTAACTTCCCATCTCAAATAATGGCAAAAAGGAAGGAACATTCAAAAGGTGGGGTTGAGATGGGATTTAAGTGGCCGAGTGGATCGAAGTCACGATATCTCAAGTGCTAGAGCAGCGGCGTATCAAGTTGAAGGTTGTGGGTTCAAATCCCGCTCGTGACACTGACTTTTTCATCTCGACTAAAAACCTTAATTAATTGAATCATATAAACAACGTTGTCCCATCGTAATTTATCAATAATTGTAACAACACCATCCTTCATCATTTCTCTTAATAACCCCATTATGTTTAGTGGTCTTATTAACCAAATGACTTCTTTCAATTAATTATTTCTTTGTATGTTAGGTCTTGGTTGAAATGAAAAAGTAGTGTCACGAGCGGGATTCGAAGTCACGACAGCTCAAGTTCCAATCCCCCTCGTGACACTAACTTTTTAATTTCAACCATGACCTTACATAGAAAGAATAATTAATAGAAAGAAACATTGATAACTTTAGTTTTCCTCAGCTTGTCATGTTAAAACGAAACAGTTCCGTGACAGTACATCTAAAGTGGTGTAGACTGCCGTAAACCATATGGTTTTATCTCAGTCCGTTATCAATTACGATATTTTTGGTCTTTATTTTAGAAAAATACGTTTCTTTCCACAAAATCTGAATTTTCTCCACTCTAATGTATCCTTTTACCTACTTTTGACACCATTTTTACATTTAACACCAATTTCTTTTTAGATTAGTTCATTTTGTTCTAAAAAGTGCCAAACTGCTTACAAAATAACTGCCCAAACATTATGAAATTAATTATTCTTTTTATGTAAGGTCTCGGTTGAAATGAAAAAGTTTGTTTCACGAGCGTTTCATTTCAACCAAGACCTTACATAAATAGAATGATTAATTGAAAGAAGTAATTTGGTCAATTAGACCACTAAACATAATTTGTTATGAAATTAGTTTAAATTCAATTGTAATTAACCTTCTATATAAATTAAACATTGACCTTTGCACATATTTATCTCATTATTTTCACCGTTTTTATGTTTTGAATTTTATGATTATAGTATATATGATTTTCTTTCTTTACTATTTTATTTATTAATTGTTCAAGATAATTATTTATATTCACTATTTTTCGTGAGCCGCTTGACCAATTAATAACATTCAAATAATTAAGGTTTTTAAGTTGAGATAAAAAGTCAGTGTCTCCAGCGGGATTCGAACCCACGACCTTCGGCTTGGTACGCCGCTACTCTACCACTTGAGCTGTCGTGACTGAAAAGGAGGGAAAATTCAAAAGGTGGGGTTGAGATGGGAAGTTAGTGCCCGAGGGGACCGAGTTCACGACAGCTCAAGTGGTAGAATAGCGGCGTATCAAGCCGAAGATCGTGGGTTCGACTCCCGCTCGTGACACTGGCTTTTTATCTCAACCTAAAAACCTTAATTAATTGAATGTAATTATTTATAATCCAACTATTACTTAACATTTCGAAATTGTTTTTATGATATTTTATATCATCCTATTGTAAATTGTTTAAACAAAATTTGTTATTACATTCATTTTTTGCTGTATCGGTGTGAGGTAAAATAAATTAATGTTCCATTTATTGTCATTGGTGTTTTTATAGTAATTTATACTATGATTAATTGATAAAAGCAACCTTATTAATTTTTCCTTAAAATAAGTAGATAGCACCTCATTCCGATTAATGAGGACGAAAAGAAAAAGGAAAACTAAAGTGCCTACTTCCTTTGTTGTTTAAAACCTAATTAACTCTTTTGGAAGTAATGCCAAAGAAGATTTGAAAAAACCCTCTGAGATGAAGAACAAATAGTATAACAAAAACATGGAAAAAGACAGCGACTTATTAAACCAGGATGAGTAATACAGCTACTGGGTTGATAAATGAAGGTAAAAACGTTTTACAGAAGAAAACAGTGCAATAAACAAATCCACACGTGAATTAATGCTGACCAGCAGGATAGCAGATCGATCCTGGAATTGTCAACAAGCAATTATGCTATATAAATCATAAAACCAGGTATGGTATCGAGCACATTGACATAGACGTCAATAGTTATGTTAGTATGTCAATAGTTTTTCTTTTATTCGTATAATAATTTGAACCTTTTGCAGTTCTATAAGAGCAGGACAAGTGAGATATCTTATTCAACTATTTGTCACGTAGCAGTGGTGTATTGGAATCTCAGCTACGCCTTGGATTCCCTATTATAATTCGAATGGATTATAACTACAAGCATGACAGGAATCACTTTTAACTTTAACGTAACTACATAAGATTAATTAGAAATCAAGTGTATTTCTTTTTTATGTATGTCTAAATAATATTTTTCGGAGATACAAACAAAGGGAAGTGCCAGTTAAAATTTGACACTGTTTGCCTTCAAATTGAACTGATGTAACTAGATGTGAGGGCTCAAAGTGCTTATCAGATATTTGGCGTGTAATTTCATTTCCAGCTTGTTTCACTTTGAAAATAGACGCTTACAAATATATGCGCTTCCTTGAAGTGATGACTGTAATGAGGCCTGATTGTAATACGGGTTACTTCAGACGTGAAAGAAAAAAATTATAAAATTCCTGTAAAATAGCGTGGTCCAATTACTCTTGGCGATATTAAAAACAATTGACGCAAATATAAAAAATTTTTAGTAGTAATACAAGTATGCAAGAATTTTGTAATTATCTTATATTTTACTTATAATTCATTAAATTCACTAATTTCGTGGTCCGCTTGACCAATTAATACATTACAATTAATTAAGGTTTTTAGTTGAGATGAAAAAAAGTTAATGGCACGAGCGGGATTCGAACCCACGATCTTCGGCTAGATACGCCGCTGCTCTACCACTTTGTAATGTTTTAATTGGTCAAGAGGACCACGAAATTAGTGAATTTAATGAATAAAATGCAGTACACTTCACTAAAGCTCTCCGTGGCCATTTCATTTGTCGTCGAGAATCCAAACCGATTACACGACATTTGAAAATTGGCAAAAAAGGGGGAAAACTCATAAGGTGGGGTTGAGATAGGAAGGTGATGTCCGAGTGGATCGAGGTCACGATAGCTGAGGTGGTAGAGCAGCGGCGTATCTAGCCAAAGATCGTGGGTTCGAATCCCGCTCGTGCCGTTAACTTTTTTTCATCTCAACTAAAAACCTTAATTAATTGTAATTTACTTATAATGTTATGTTCAATTAATTTGGTCTTATGGCATAGTATATCTCGTTCCTTTGGAGGGATATAATTCCGAGTTGAGTTCTGTTTTTCCTTTTAGTCCTAAAAATTATAAAAATGGAATGAAAATAACAAAATATCCCCTTATTTCATTAGATCAATAAACTATTTCTTTTCAATTCTAATTATATCAATTTAATCTATCTGCTAATCCGGTGGAATGGTATGCAGGATACCATCTGTACTAATGATCTCATGATATAAAGAAAAAGCAATGAGAAAATATTAAAATTAATAATTTTACATATATAATATAACATATAAAACAATCATCACATTCCACACATGAAACATTTCTACATATTCTAATTCTTGAACAATTTGGCTTTCCTTTTCCCTGATTATCCCCGTCTATGAAATCCTGAAAGGAAAATCAGGCCGAACCATTATCCACGTTTTTCCCATTGTCGTCTCCTTTCACCTCAAAGAAGTCGGAGAAATTAAAATTGTAGACAGGAGAAAAACACCTCAACATTTTTATGAGAAAATTAAGTTTTGCAAAGATATCTTCTTTTTTTAATAAAGGCACGATTGTTTGGTTCTGTATTTTTTAATTCATAATTTTATTCAGCTTATATAAATAAATGTTTCATTTTCCTCGTAAAATAACCAATGTATAGTTCCTACCTGTAACAACAAGTATTGAATTAGAAATTATTTATTTTTTATTGGAATTTGATTTGCAACCTTTTTGTGAAATTTAATCCCCATTCTGAAACTTACAGTATATTTTATATCAACTTAAGTTATAAATTCTAGTTAGTTAAGTTTAAAGGCGAGCAATTTTGCCCTAAGTTCTTTTAACTCTGACAATGTTTTGAAAAATGGTCACAAAAGGAGGACGCCTTAAAACAAAAGGCAAGGGTTTGATGGAATGAAGCCTTACAATAGAATCAGGTTCCTTGGCTCGATTAGTTCAATTTCACAATAAATTCAGTTTTGTCAATTTTAAATGAAAAAGCGAGGACGGTCTGGTGGAATCGACCTACAGATGTTGTCAACCTTCAAATTGTTTTTTCGGTAAACTGTGTGGAATAAGTGCAGCAGTTAGCAAGTCAAAGGGTTCATTTAGGATTTTTTTTCGTTGCCCGCTCTTTCCGATAATCCTATTTCGCCAGTATCGCCGTTATAAAATCACGTTACGGCCCCTCTTCCTATAGGTAGTTATAACGAAATTTCGCCAACGTGTGTAAATACTTGTCTCGTTCAAGGATTAATTACCAATCACGCTAGCGACACAGTTAGAACAAGTTTAACGACTTTGGATATCAAAGGTTGCTAATTTACGTACAAACTCTGACTGCCGAGGTCTTACTTAGGATTGACGTAGGGCTCGAACTAATGATACAT